CACACTATTTTTCTATACGAGGCATTCTACTAACTGCATCGAGAAGAATATAAATTTACATAAAAATCTGCGGCCAGAAAATTACTGGAAAATTTGCAGATGGAAGGTGGAAAATTTTCCATTCTTTTTTTTAATCGTGTCATCAAAAATCAGAATTCGCATTGATCTCGATCAATGACGTGTACGTTGAATCATCGAACCCTCCTGTTTGAATCCTCCTTGACCGTAGTCCGGACGATTCCATCGGTGAATTCAATTTAAGTCGCGAGTATAACAATGGGACTCAATTAACGCGAACGAAAGACGCGGAAACGGGGCAATCGATTTCGTCGATAAGGAGGACACCGGGGGTTCACCTTCGCCTCCGAGATAAATCCGGGATTAGTGCCGATGAGGCGATCGGAAGAGACGCGTTGAATCTTAAGGGGATAAGATTACGGTAAATATGACGCTTTGCAGTTAACCGGTTCCACGCAGGCTCGTAAATCGCCAAGAGGATAGCGAATTTATGCGGATGGCAATTTAACGTAGATCCGACCAGATAGCCAGCCGGATAGGGAACATCAGACTCGAAAATATAGAGTTTACATATGAATTTAACATCCGTTTAGGTTTTTAAGCCAATGATCACAGGCACGAAGTATTTCGTTACAAACGTTGCCGTTTGAAAGCTGAGGCCACTAAATAACGCTTCGACTTTCCCGCCATTTGACGCACAAGGCATTCACAAGTTTTTCGAATGAAGAACGGTTCGAGAAATACATGACTTAGAAAATTCGTAGCCACAATGGCACTTCGTTGAATTTCCCTGTTACCTATTAAACGTGATCGTTACTTTTTTAATAAAATTTGTCTGTGTTAAAAATCGTGAAACTTAATCTCTTAGATCGAGATCTTGACTTTGAACGTAGTAAGATTGCGAATTTGTATATTTCAATGTTGCACTTATTGTCAGTTGCAAAGGAAAAATGTTTACCATGTTTCAACTGAGAAATCATGCATAAGTACAAATGAGTATTTTTTTCCAGGCGATATTGTTTAAGGTTAGAAAAATGTAAATCGGTCGGAGATAACTGAAAGAACACAGAGTTGATCGTGTTTATAGATACAATTTTGTATATATCTTCACGTCTATAAAATAGTTTATAAAATAACGACTATTTAAATACGTGCAATGAAAATATATTCGTGTTTTAATAAAAATATTTAATTTCGGGTGTATAACGAGTGTTTCCTTGCTTTTCTTCCCAACGTTGTTTTACGTAATCAAGTATAATCTGCCATCGAAATCATTTTTAATAAAATGTAACTCAATAAAATAAACATTTTTAATGAAATAAAATTTAATCGAATAAAAAACGAAAATGTCTTTTCAGATATATAAAATAAAAACTTATCAATTTATATTAAAATTTGGACTTCGTGATATTAAATTATTTTAGAGAAGTTTCTCCAAGACCGTTCATGCAACAAAAATGGCACAACACTTATCCTTTATAAACAGGTGAAGAACACGGACCCTTTCCACACACCAATATCGTAGACTCTGGTTTCGATTCAACAGTTTTTTTCCCCCCAAGGATCCATTCAGAACCATTGTCGAAACGACATGCCGCGGCGCGATCGGTAACGAACCCGATCCTCAGGAATCGGGAATAAAAAGGCGCCGATCGGAGGTAAAAGAGAAAAATCAGGCGGATCGTTAGCCGAGCGGACGACAATGTTCGTGCCGTGATTGAAACCACCATGGCAACAAATCACTCCTTATATGTATAGTCGATCGGCGTTTCTGCGCGCGCGAGATGAAAAGAAACGGCGCAAAAGAAAAAAAAGGTAGAGGCGATTGCGAGTGAAAAAGACGAGGACGACGAGGATAGTGGCCCGGAGAAGTGAAGAAAAGGGATCGAGCTGTGAGGCCCCATGCGGCGCTGAATCACGCTCAGACCTTTTTCACTTTGAGGTCCTTCGACGGTGACTCGGAGCTCACCTTTGTATGGTTGGCGCCGTGATTTTTCACGGTCGCCGTCGGGGAATAGTCGAAACACGGCGAACCGTGGCGCGGCTCGCTCGACTTGTATTTCAGGCCTTTCGTCTGGCCGGCTTCCCTATTTCTGCCGCGCCAACTTAACTCCATCTCCTTCGTCTTTTTCTCATTCCCGAATCGATTATTTCCGACTATTTTTGCACGGGATTCTCTCGGTTTACCTCGGGCTCCCGTTGGAATCCTCGAGATTCTCCGTATAAATTATATCCTCCCCTGAGATGAAATTGATCGCCAGCCGATAAAACTCTTTTTGGTGGTTATTTTAGTAGACGTTTTTCGTACGGTTTTAAACGTGCGTCATAGATAGTTTATGTGAGATTTAGTTCAGTTTTTAACCCTTTCACTGCTAAAGGCGTATATATACGCCCTTACAAGTCGGTTCATATACACGAAAGGCGTATCTATACGCTCTCACACGTCTATCAATATATACGAATGCCGTAAATATACGGCCTTTACGTTTTTCTTTAACACTGTAACTGTAGGTCGCAACGCCTAACAGTAGAATATCGCGCCGTCTGTACTCTGATGGTTCGCTCCGAAAGTGTGCCGCAGTGAAAAGGTTAATAATAATAATAACGAAGATATACGATATAGGTATACCAACATGCTCAAATTTTATTTTACGTGATTACTAATGTATAACAAAATAAGAAAATTGTTGTTTGGACTTAGTGAATTCGAGGAACACTTAGGAATTCTAAAATTAATCATACATACAAGAGTTTAACTCTCATCTTACTGTTCTCAATATTAATAACTGTTATTAACTTTATAATATTATTTATAATGTTTACATTATAATGTTAATAAGTTACTGTTATTAATATTAGTAAGATTGCATTAACTACGTGTTATAAATAATAAATATCGAAATTAAGTTTGTTAGGGGTGGTCTGCCTACGTAAATTCAAACCATCGCCTCCGCGATATACTACCACGCGCAATTATAAGCAGAATTCAATTCATTTTCTTTCAACAGCGAGTAAAGAACAGAAGAGAGAAAATCGTTTTCAATTTTTGCTGACAATTCAACATCTCGTTTCCAAATAATTATCAATTCTTTTCGTTTCACGTCTTAGAGGTGTTTTTTTCTAACAACGAGCAAAGAAAAGCAGGGAGGAAATCGTTTTTAATTTTGCCGTGTCGGCTGGCAATTTAACAACGATTGAACGGTATGGATTGGAAACGGGCGATAAACGGTCAGGCGCGATCGAGAGATTTTTAATAAAAGAGCGGAAGGCCGCGTGAAAAATGAGGCGCGAAGCGGAGAGAAAAAAAAATGGGAAAAAAGAGAGAGAGAGAGAGAGAGAGGCAGGGCTGCGTTTCGTACAACATTCCTATCGCGTCGGATCGATGCCGTTGTCGAGGTTGCGTTCGATTGTAACAATCGCTGATAAAGGGGAAGCAGATAGGAGAGAGCGATAGGCGGAAGAACCGGAGAGAAAGAGCGGGTGTAAAATGAGAATTACATCGAAATCAGACGATGGGTGTTCCGCCGATCAATTGCTACTTTGACAGCGAATGGCGAACACTATCGATGATCGGGAATGATTAATGACGCGGCACCGCTATAAACGCGATAATCTTGTACGAGCATCGAGAACGATTTACATTGTAGCGTTTCTTGTGTATCGAGGGTGTTATGTGCAATATATGTGCATGCAGGACCACCTCTGCTCCTTTCGAAACGATTATTCTTCGATGTCCGATTCTTCGATTATTTGTAGCATACGGTTGAAAAAAATAGATGAAAGTACCTTGCTACTTCAAAAGGCTGGAGTTACTGCGTTTGTCGATAAATAGAAAGTAATTCTCCTAATATTTTCTCAATATTTTTATTTAATATTTAAATTGTTTTATAACACGTTAAATTATACCGATTCTTGTTAAAGTCTTTTTTTTTTTACGAGACGTAAATTGTAAAACTGCTGTGGAATATATTCTTTGTGCAACGCGCATAAAATTCTGTTAAAGCGGTTAAAGTTTTGCGGTAAAGTACTTAACTTACATCCATAATAGTCGTAGGCTTCGCAGTTAAGATAGAAGCACAGATTATTACTCGGGTAATAACCGCCGCTTTAATACGAAAGCTCTTTATAGTTGTAATTTCTCTCATAGTTGCGTTTACTAAATTTTTAATATAAAGGAAAATCGCTATGAAACGTAAAACGTAATGTATTATATCTCGAAACAGACTTTTAGGAATAATATACGTACATGCAAAGGTGGATTTTCTTGAAAAGTAGTTGAAACTGAGCAATTAACGAGAGTGTAATATTTAAATGTTTATAATTATTATCGAAGCTAATCTAAGAGAACGAAGTTTAATCCTGTGGTTTACTTCTCTATCGTTAAAAAATTTCTATCATTAAAAGTTTTTTATATTTATGATAATTGCATATTTAAATAATTATATTATAATTGAAAATGTATTTATAATTGAGGAAAATGAACTTAAGAAAGACTATATATATATAACGAAAGAAAAGAGTAATTTACAATATCTCGATGGATAAATAAAGAAATACGAGGATCAACTTCATTTTTTTTTCCATTATAAAAATAATTCATTGTTAACAAAGTAACGATAGTTTTTTCAAAACGTTAAAAATCCCTTAAAGACGTAAAAAATTCAACATCTTCGCTCACGTCAAAAGCACGAGGGTAACGCGACATTTTTGAGAGAATTCGCGAAACAGCGTTAGATCGAGAGAGAGAGAGAGAGAGAGAGAGAGAGAGGAAAAAAAAAGAAAAAAAAGTTGCACATTATCGAAACGGAAGTCACGCGTTTCGACAGAGACAGAAGCTACTGCGAACACGTTTGACCGGGAGGGGAAATCCCGCGCATATACGGTCTCGCCACAGTTGCACGTTGCACATAGAGTAGTTGTATCCCGAGTCAAGTCAGGAACAAAGGAGTCTGTGTAACACGATAGTGGGTTTCGTGTTTCAGGCGGGCATGCTGCGTGGCGATCACGGGGAGTTCTGGTTGGAACCAGTCGCCGTGTCCCCGGAAGAAGAACGAGCCCGGCTGGAGGTTCGGCTGGAAGACGCCGGCGCCGAGCTCTACCGGAACTCGGCGCTCGGCAGGCCGCATCTCGTGTTCCGCAGGTCCGTCGAGCAGCCGCAGCTCGAAATCGGCGCCACAGGCCGCACCAGACGCCGACGAAAAAAGAAGAGAAAACTGGAGAGAAACTGCGGCACTCGCGGTGAGAATCCACCGACACCGTTTCCTCTTACTCTTTCGACGCATGCTTTCGTTCACCCGGCATTCAGCCTCCTCCCTTTCCTCTTTCTTTCATTCATCTTATTCCTTTATTTTCTTTGCCCTTTCGTTTTATTTTCGTCGCCTTCTTTCGTCGAGTCTCCCGTCTCTTGGTCCCTTCAGAGAGAGAGACACTCTCTCGATTTCTTTTCTCGTCGCGGAAAGGTTCGGAGGACGAGAGGACGACTGTTAGCCGAGCGCGTCTGTCTGACTCTTTTTTTCCCTGTTCTACTTGCCGAGGCCGTTCGATCGTACGCCGATAAAATTCTTGTTACTCGTCGCGCAGCTTGATTTCAGAAGCATTCAGGAACTTTGTAGCGGCCGGCAGCGTCTTTTAGCCGATTATGCTCATTTGTTGAAAAATGTATAGACTCAAAAGAGGAGGTAAAAGATAAACAAGGCAGCGAAAAAGACTCGTTCAACTCGTTCAACCAGTATCATTTCATCGAGTTTTAATTTAGTTGAATTTTATTACTAATTTGCATCGCGAAGAAAGGGAAACACGAAATAAAATCAAATACCTGAAATTTTAGGTAATCTAATATATGTATTAATATAATCATTACGGCATTATTTAGTTAGTAAAATAAAGTTAAATATAGATGTTTAGAATGACAGAATTTGAAGAATATTACAATGAAAGTCAATTCATTTGACTATTTCTTTTTCGTTGCCTCATTGAAATGAATATAATCATGGAATATATAATATTTAAAGTTATTATATTATATTATAATATAATTTCAATTATAATAAATATTTGTACAAGAATTATGATAATTATCACTATAATATAATATTATATTGTAATAGTTGTTATTATAATATAATATTATAATATAATTGTTATTATAATATAATATATTTAATATTATAATATTTATGATTTATTAATATTGTAATATAGTATTACACAGAGTGATTCACGTAACGATTGCACACTTGAAATAATTTTTAAATTATCTAATGAAAAATTACTTAATACAAAAATTGTATGATTTTAACCGAGGTAAAATGTGGCCTGTCAGTTTTTTACGTGTGTCGAGGAGTTTCGAAATTTCCAAGTTCATCTTTATTTTTCTTAATTGGACAATATATCTTTTTCATCATAAATCGAAAGAATTTAAATTCCAAGTAATTTCGGGGAATATTGTATTTTGCAAATTGTGTCGAAATACATCAGGCATCACTCGCTTTTGTATCGCGCATGTATCATGTCTCACGCGACCTTCGGCACGCGGCGAGGTGAGGTAGCGTAGAGTGAGATAATTCCAAGAATTGGTGGGGATAGCGACGTACGCTTAAGCTACTGTAATACTTAATCGCTTAGAATATCCAGAAATCTTGTTATCGTTCAGTTACCGTACAGCATCGGCGATGGTTACACTACGATCCACGTTCCACTCGAAATAAACTTCTGCGTCGACATCGATCGAGATCGAAGTGAGATTGGATACGTCTTACATACGTAGAAAAATCGAAAAATTATACAACGAGAAATTGGCAGATTTAATGTTATAAAAATGTCGCTATACCAGAAGCAATACCAATGAAGAAAATGCTGTTGCTCTCTTAGAAGCTGTAGAATATCAATCACATGTTGGCACAGATTTCTCGATAATCCAGAATTAGTCAATCAAGTGTCACATATCACCCTATATCTTCGTCGAAAGCTTCACAGATCCGACTTTTAAAATCGAGTACAATACGCTGAATGGTCTTTGCAGCAAGTAAGTGTTCATGTTTTATATTGTTCACGGACGAAGCGACATTTGCCAATCATAGTAACGTCAATTTGTAGAATTTAAATAATCCCTATTGGATGAGAATTAGTTCATTTACGCGTAATTTAAAAGTTATTTATATGACGTGTAAGTTGCGCGAATCACCCTGTATGATGTGTACATAGTCGTTGAATTCGTTATTAGTTAAGGATAAAGAAGAGTTACTGAGTTCCTAAAAAAATTTATCGACGTCGTGCAAGAGTAACTATTTTCAATTTCACTGTTGTTACTTTTATTCGTTAAATAACCTTTAAATAGCTCTCAATGGGGAAAAAAAGAACCGATTTCCATGACCGATAATTTAGATACCGAGTCGAATCTCCCTCCCAGCTCGTTCTCTTCCCGTTTCGTCCGTTCTTTTTTCGATTTCTCTGGCTGGGAGCGTTTATGCCGTCTGAAGCCACAGGGTAATTGGATACACGAGCTGCAAAGCGTGGGCGTGTCGACGTCGAACGTTATCTTCTTATCGATGAAATTGCACCGGGATGCGACAAGTGTTACAACCGCGAGAAAATTTTTCTCCCGTTAATTACGGGCTCGCTTAATTAGAGACTGTTCTAGCATACGTTTAGTATTGTTTCTAATTGAACGGTGATATTTTTGAATCCTTTTTACAGTCTTGCGCGCCGTGTCTTCAGATGGACTCTGTTACTTAGTTATTACAATGAATTTTGCTGGTCTAATTGCGTTACGCGATAAACTTTCACGTAAATCAACGTGATACGTTATATAGACGTAACTCGTCTTTCATGTTTATTCCGATATTAATACGTGACGGGTTTCTGCAATGCTAATTAAAAGTATCATCTAGTGTACAATTGGCACAACTTACCAGCTAGTTCGACAGCTATGATCGTTTCTTTTTGTTGAACTTTTGAAATCTTCAATGAGTAATACTCAGAATAGATTTGAGACTGAGATTTTTCGTCATTACTAGATTGAAGTTCTTTAAGCATACAATAATAGTTGGTTGACTTTATGTTCCAAGATTACGTTCTTTCAAGAAGGTATGAACGAATAGATTCACAGCGGCAAATTAGCAAAGTCCTAAGAATAATATCAATGTCAAATTTAAGTATTTTTGTTACATTAAAAATATTTTTCTCAACAAGTCGTCGAACGAATAGGTGTATAATATGTATCAACTATAGTACATCATTGATTTCGCCTGAATGTCGCTTGCAGCTGTTACGTTAGAAACGGTGATTTCAAAAAAAAAAAAAAAAAACGAAGGTATTCTTGAATTTTTTTATTAAAACAAATAATTTTGGAATATTTGAACATTTTCATCAGTTTTCTCTACAAATACTCCGTGTACGTCAAAAAATCGATACTAAAATATATACTTGCGTCGATTCACTGCGTGAAGATATCTAAAAAAAGGGAGGATGAGCCAATACTTCTTTAATCCGCTATAAATAAGACACATTGAGCCGAGCTAACGTCTCGCGTCTTTTTTCGCCCGATGACATCAAAATCCGTAATAGAGGCAAATTGGCCGTGGCACGATGCGTCTCTGTCAGTGAGGCAGAAGGTTAGTTCCTTATACCGATCGTAAATCAGTTTTAACAAATGCTAAAGCCACGCCTCGTTTCCTCCTGTTACGTGGCATCCCGAACGCCATCGCTGTCGTCGCCGGAGACGACACTTCCGCTAATTACAACGACGCCAGGCATAGCCCAACGATGCATGCACGGTGCACGAAAGAAAAAAGGCCTCGGGAATCTAACACCGCGACGACGACGATAAATTTCTTAATTAATAGGTAACGGGCCAATCAACGGGGGAATAACGGTGAGAAGAGGGGGCACGGAGAAGAAAGGAATGAGTAGCAAATGGGAAGTGGCACTTACAGCGAGAACAGACCGGCACCTTCCTTTTTCTTCACCACCTTCGCATTCCTGTTCTCATTCTCATTCCCTTCGTTCTCGTTCCACTGCTATTAGCCTCGTATGGCGGCTGCTTCGTTCGCCAGCGGCGCATATTACAAGTATTTATCCCGTCTACGGTAGAGATGGAATCGAATACCTCGCAAGTAGCTTCGAACCTTTGGCTGTTGCATTCGAAACTTTTAACAAAAAATATTTCAACAAGTACGGTGGACCCTCGAGCTTGAAACTCGAACGAGAACTCGAAAAACGCGACAACGATTCTTCCCTTCGATTCGATCTTCAACGATCTTCGAACTGTCAGGATCAAGCTGTCTGTTAAACTCTGTATGAGAGCTGTTTCCATTTAAATTCTAGGTATATGTTGTTTTGTCACTATTTATCAGTATAATCTCCAAGCCTTTAAAATTATTATTTCATGTAAAAAGGCACTCGGCGTTATTCAACGTTATTGCAAATTTGCAACATTCTATGTCGTTAATTCTAAGTCCGCAATTTAAGAAAAAAATTATGCATTTGAATCGTGGATTGAAACTTTTTGTATTGGATTTTTGGAATTGATCAATTCAATTTACATTATTTCTTAAGTAACTCGGAAGTCGAATCATTCTCTGGAACAGATTGTATTCAAATTCGAGGGTCTATTGCGTACTTGAATCTACGCGTGATGGTTTCGAATGCTTCATGAACTTCCGGAAATGGGAACAATACTTCCAAGTAATTTCGAATACTGATAAATAGACATGGGATCGAATATCTCACAAGTTCGAACATTTTAAATACGTATGTACGTCAAATGAAATATGTTTGTATCTTTTTATACCATCTTCAATTCTTCCTCAACATTTAAACGTTTGCTTCTTCATTGTATCAGTACAAATGTGTACATTTACAAAATTTGTAGATGTTCGGTATAACATGAACACGTGTATAATGATTACATTCGTGTAAAATGAATATAAAGTGTAACGAATATAAATGTGAATGTAATTATTGAAATACTGAAGATCACTCTGTAGAATTCCAATTCTCAAGAGTGAAGGCTGAATTTTACAAGCAAACTTATAAGTACGTCTTCGAAACTTGATAGATATTCATTCCAGAATTCTTGTATAAAACGAACGAGTACATTACAAGTGTATTCATTGAAACATTTTTGTTCTCGAGTACACATATAATGTACGAAATCTATGGAACGAAACTTAGACATCAAATTTTACTCAAGTTCGTACATATTCGACTTGATCCCATCCCTAGCCTCTACATATATATAACATAATTGAACGTGTTTCGATAGGGGAACGTGGGCGTTCCAGCGACACGGTGCGTTCGTCGTTTTGTCGGCATCGAACGTCTTTGATCGTAGAAAAAAAATTGGAATTCTATATTTATGAGCTTGTCGCGGAACGTTTTCGATAAAATCTCCGCCAATGATCCGTCTTCGTTCGGCCACTAATTATCTCGAAATTGGATGTATTAATATACAAAGTGCGGGCTGAGGAGAATGACTTATCGCGCGACGAGTCGTCGCAGCGACTTTACGATCGAATAAGTGAATCGAATGGTACTCCTATTGATTTCTATTCGAAGTCTGTGGGTGGTAGGTCTCAACGTATGTCGCGATCAATTAATTAGATAAGTTCGAGACTTTTTGAGTTGATATGTTTGAAGTTGATACGACTAATTGCTAGTTAAATAGGAGAAGAAGAAAATATAAGTAAGTGGTCTGATATGTGATTGAATTTTTCAATATTGTGAAAATTTGAATATGATATTCAAGCATGATTCAATACACGAAATTTCAATGTCTAATTGAAAGTTCACTCTTGAATCAGTGAACTCCTATTGTATGAGCTACAATTATTTAAGCTATCCCTCGACAAGTTTATATAGTCGGAGTTTTGCTGTGAAAACTTGAAAATTCTTGGAAATCTTCGTTGGTCTTCGGTATTTAAAAATTTTTTATCGATCTTGCGTCTTCAAAGTTTTGAAGATTTTGATGGATGAGAGATATTGAAAACTAAGTGAGTATATATACAAGCATAGTATCTGTAACAATAATGTGACAAAATGTATTATTAAAGAAAATCATATGTTACACACATATGTGACTACAGTTATATCTTATTGCAATTGAATGTAATTGATACGATTAAAGAAATGAAGCCTAGTCAAAAATTTGTTTCTGTTATTAAACATTATAAAAAGTACTCTATTTACAGTCTTGTATATGCTATGCGTTCTCTGCATTTCTGCATCATTAAGTTTCTCATAAATTGCACAAAAATCGTTTAATTACTCATTCACGTAATGAATGCAAAGATGAAGAAAAAAAAAGACTTGTAACATATCAGATATTCATCAAATTTTCAATATCTGTTACCTCGTATCGAGATCTTCAAGGCTTTTCCAAGACAAATCAAGATTATTAAGATTCAAGGCTAATCAAGATCTCCAAGGCTAATCAAGATGAATCAAGACTTTCCACAGTAATTAAAGCTTCCAAGACCCGAAGCCAATCAAAGCCTCTCAAGACTCAAGGCTAATCACTACTTTCGACACTCTCAAAACACCAAATCACAGTTCTAATTCTCTACATGTACGTACATACATACACAATATCGTCCAAAGCGATACGAAAGTGCTTCCTAACCCATCGCTAGATACAGCGCTAACTCGTAAATTTACATTTCCTCCTCCTCCTCTTCCTCCTCTTCCTCCTCTTCCTCCTCCCCCTTATCGCTGAGTGTTAACAATGAAACTCCACGGTTCGTCGGTGGAAACACGTGGAAACTTTGATTGCCCGATTTCAAATTAACTACACGAACAGACGTGCACGGGGGATACACGTATATAGGTATCGCGGAGGGGTTACGACCAACACAAGGCGGTTTAAATTCGCGTGTACCGAAAATCGAGGGTAGTCGAGCGCCCGGGCCAAAGTGTCCAAGGGAGCGCGATTAATTCGACTAATTTGGTCACGAATTTCCAAAGTGGTGATCCGTAGCCGGCGCATGTTTGCCGCGATTCCCCGCGCGCAACCTATTAACCGAGTGACGAGACCGCGTTTCACCGGATTAAACGATCTCGCGGCGAAGCCGATACGATCACGGTAAGATCACCGCTGGCTGGATATAGAGACGCGGCACCGCGATTCGCCGCAAACTTGTAATTAAGCACAATGAATATCCATTTCGGCAAGCCAGGGCCCGATCTATCGGCGAGGCACGGCTGAAATCTTAATTGCACGGCTCTGCGATCGAGCAATCTGCATAAATTAAGGAGACCGTCTTACGTGATCCACGTGGTATGTAACTTACATCTTTTTCGAGATAGAGCGTGCGGGGGCTGGACTCGCAGATAGCGGCCCCTTCGTGCAATTTCGAACGTTGAGCTACCGAGGAAGATCGATGGGCTTGCGTGAAAATTAAACATCCGTTTCGCATCGTTTCGTTCTACATCCGTCGGCGGGATTTCCTCGCGGTCTATCCCGAACGATTTGTATAATATTTTAGCCCTCTTACCTCCTCACGAGGTAACTTCCATGCATTTATCCCGAATTAAATACTTGTTTCATATTTCTTACTTTTACTCGTATTTTACTTGTTCATGTCTTTATACGTACGTTTTTTTTTTTTTTTTTATCGCTGTTTCATACGATGTACTTTGCATTAACAGAATTTTTGTCCCGTAAGAAGTAAATTAAATAAATTGATTGAACTATATCGTTTTTCTAGTAAAAATATTCGTCGAACAATTTCGTTATTTCGAGAAAGAGAAATATCGGATCAACGTGTTTTTTTTTTTTTTAGAAAAGTCACAGAGAGTGGATTTTAAATAACTAGATTATAATTTAATCAGGCACAAATATTTGTTCTCGAATTGCTGTTATTTTAATAAAGAAACAGAAAATATACGGATGTTCGTATATTATAGTTAATAAATGTTACTTTTTACTGTGGTACATCCATTCGAGAAGTTCACGTGTGTACTGTTAACGAAGACACGCGTACGCATATACACCTCCGATCGTGTTCAATCGAATTGCTCAATTTACCAGAGCCACGGTGGATTTTCTCGCGAATCGACACCTTACAGAGATCGCAAGCACTCGACACGAGTATATTGAATACGTGACGCATCGCATCGTGTAGCCAAAATCGGGCGAACGATCGATCGCGTACACGTCATCGTGACCAGGCGATTAATCATCTCGCTCGGCGTTCGCCGACGATCAACGTCGAGAAGATGGAATTCCTTTTCGCGAAAATCAAACGTGGAACGTGTAAACGGGAGTTCCATCGAGCCGGATCGGAATTTCGGATCGAAAGGGATACTAATCAAAGGCTTTTGGGCGGGGTTGTGTTGCACAGAGCCGAGGCGGCTGACGGAAACGCGGCTCGAGTGGCAAACGCAGCCGGGGCTGGTGCAGGTTCAAGGACGGGGCCGAAGAAAACACCATCAGACGAAACGATGGCAACGCTCCAAGAGATCGATCAGCCGGCCGCGTCACGTCGAGGCGCTCGTTGTCGCTGACACGACGATGATGGCTTTTCATCAGGACGGCGACGTCGAGACGTATCTGCTGACCATCATGAACATGGTGTCGTCCCTCTACCTCGATCCGACCATAGGGAATTTCATTAACGTCGTCGTGGTCAGGATTATCCTTGTCGAGGAGGACGACGCGGAAGTACGTGCGAATTACGCCGGTGATGTGCGTTGCGTTCAACAACTGGATGGGCACGTCGTTGTTTCACGACAGCCGTGTTTTGTCCAGTTTATTATTTAATAACCGGATAGATGGTAGCACCTGGTGAAATTAATTTTTTGTTTTTCTCTTCCTTTTCTTGAAATGGTGGCGACTGTAATTGACGGAATAAGAATGTTGGTCGATTGTGGATTTTTATGCATTTGAGACAGTACACGGTGTATAGAATGTAGAAAAAATGTATATAAATGTTTCAAGGTGGAATATATATAGTAGATGGAACAAGTTTCTTTTCTTCTTGTCAAATGTATAAGAATCCGCGATCTAACGATCACAAATATTATCCGAGTATTGTACCAACTCTTTGAGTGTTCGCTAAAATTGCCAAATGTCTACAAATCTACAAGAAGAGGATATAACAAATTAAGAATTTATTTATTTTACATACTGTAATATAAATTTGTACGACAGTTTAGTAGCGCGAATTAAACACTCAAAGGATTAATACTTTCGAACAGTAGAACATTACATGATTTTCGTATCGTTTGAACCAAGTCAATTCCCGATTAAAGCTGAACACTTGTTACGTGTAAGACGAAAAATCACTGGTATAAAAGAGGATCGTCCAATTATACAAGTGAATTTGTAACTGTGATCTTTGCATCGACCACCATTTACTGACACTGCACTCGCCCTCTCGGAACGACTTAACACAGTGTCCCCGTGCGAACTGATTCGACAACACGCGTGCCAATCATCCATGAAACATTGGTGCGTCCGTCGAAAACGAATCGGCGTTGAAAATGTTTGTGTCGTCGCGCGATGTCGAACATTGCCGAGCTCGGGCCGGCAGGCTCGTAAAACCGTAGACAGGAGAACGATGGGAAACGTAAACCGGGAGAAAACGCATGGTCATTTCTATTCGGCTGGATTCGCGAAACGGCCGGGACTAACGTCCGTTTTCCAGGAGGGGCTGGACATCACGGTGAACGCGGACAGGACGCTGTACAATTTCTGCAAATGGCAACAGAAACTGAATCCCGCGGACGACTCGCATCCGAATCACCACGACGTGGCGATTCTGGTGACGAGGGAGGACATCTGCTCGAGGGCGAACACGCCGTGTAGCACTCTGGGAGTGGCCCACGTAGCCGGTATGTGCCAGCCGGACCGCAGCTGCAGTGTCAACGAGGACAATGGGATCACGCTCGCGCACACCATCACCCACGAATTGGGACACAAGTGAGTGGGAAACGTTCGATCGATTTTTAACTCTTTCGTTACTGAATTCATTACTGCGCCGGGAATCTGAATTTTTTTTTTTTTTTTTTTTACTTTCTCTCTTTCTTCTTTTTTTTTTTTTATGAGAGTGGAATTTAGAATCTTTCTTTACAGTTACTTTGCAAATCCTTTCTGAGGATACGGAGGACACGATCCGTTGCTGGCAAATGATACTTTATTGAATTGTTAAATGTTTGCTCGATTGTTGAAATTTCAAAAAAACGAGGGGGAAAGAAATGGAGACATTAAGAACAAAACGATGAATTTTTAATGATTGTTTTTGAAAAATATGAAGTCAGTGTTATATATATATTTTTTTAATTACCATAATTTGAAACATTGACAATTTTTCACTCTTGTTCAAGTCTTCACTATGTACGACGTTGTCTTAACAGAAACCGTGAATTTCTGATATTTATAATTTACCTGTTATTCCGGTTATTCTTTACGTAGTCTTCATAACAATAACAAAATGAATTAAAATAAAATAAAAGGAAGAAATAGAGAACGAGGCCGAATGTCGTCGGCAAAACTTGTCCCTAAATTTCCTCCGAAAGAAAAAGTAACGACTCGCAGAAGTGAATTATCTTTGTGAGACTCGAGTATTACCCCTCTTATAAGCCAGAGAAATTTATCGCTCCTTTTTTATTAGATCCTTAGAAGCACACTTAGGCTGGCCAAGCTTCTTTGCCTCGCAGCAATTACCCCAAACATATTTCATATTTCTTGGTGGCCAAGTATCCTCGATTTGGCTAACTTTCTACCAGCCGGTAGAGTAAATTTTAATATTATATTTGAATTTACATTGTGAATAGCTTTTTGTCCCGTGACACTGATTTTAAACGTGAAAAAGTAGAATCGTAACGAAGTTTAATTTTAATCTGAATTTCTCTGAACCACGGAAATTTAAAAGTATCTCAAAAGTATAAATCACTTAGCTGATTACCGTCTGTAACTTTAAAAATATTCTGCCATTTCAGATTAAATTTTCGTACCATAGAATTAAACTTCGTTTTTAATAGAAAATTAAATTTCTTCTACCGAGAAGTACACGTGCGAAAACTTCAAAACTTTGATGATATAATATATTTGATATGCACCAACCTATTTCTAATTGCATAGTTCTCAAAAAAAAAGATGAAATTGCTCTACTTACATAAAACTGTGAACACGAAACTCGAGTTTAATGATTATATATAATAAAATTTGGAACAAGTCAAAAAATGTATACAGAATTTAACATAAATATATATTTAATAAAAGATTGGGATATGGCATCTTAAGCATACAACACAATTTAAGGAAAACTTTGCTCAATATTGACTATTCAAATACTTTTATTGCCTCTAGAAATTTATACATTATACATTTTCAGAATGATTAAACATTCTATCAACATAATCCTGATAATTGGATATTGCATATTACTACTAACAAAATTTCCAAATATTTTATACAATATGAATTCGCAAAACACTTTAAACAATATTGTCATTCGCTCGATACACCAGTCGATTTTACGTATAAAAAAAAAGAAAAGTCATCCAAATCGCAATGAACAAAAAATAATTGGTCGTGCCAATGCGTAGCTCGTTCTATCGAGAGTCTGATTCTCCGTGCTCATTAAGCGATTTGCTTTCATTGATATAATAACCGATAACGGGATCTGGTTATCGCGTTTGCCGCGTATTTGGCTGAAACCGTATCGCGGACAAGCACGTGTGAACTCGGGTCGTTTTGTTACGGAATCTCTCCGCGTGTTAGCCGTTTCGATTTCGAGGTGATTCACGACCGTGACACGATTTCGACTCCAGCTTTGGCATGTACCACGATACGGAAAAAATCGGGTGCAGCAAACGGGACGGCGACACCCTGCATGTAATGACGCCGACTTTCGAGGTGGACACCATTGGCGTCGCCTGGTCCAGATGCTCCAGAAGGGACATCACCAACTTCCTGGAGTAAGAAATTTTCGTATCTCTTTCCAAGATGCTTGTTACATTGTTCCATTGTGTGCGAAACATTCGAGGAAGGAAATTGAATTGTTAGGTTGTTGCAGACGAAATGACGACATTCTTCTTGAGTCTATGTGACAAAAATGGACATTATATTGTTAAAATACGTACGGCGTTTAAATATTTTACAATACGAAATGATTGATCACGAGTATCTGAGAAGATGCAACGTGAATAGATTAACATGGTTAATATAAGTTTCAACGTTTATAGCTTTCTTGAAGATAATATTAATCATTTTGTCCATTCTAAGCAATTTTACATAATTAAAATCGAAATTCTTCAATTGATTATTGATAATTTTCTGATCAATTGTTCATGCTTGTGTATACACTTTCCAGTCTATATTTTTCAGATGAATGATAGACTCTCTTCGCGTCGTTATTAAGCTTTAAGCTCCAGATCTGTGTCTATTATTTAACAGTTATTTATATTAGTCATTAGATTTCGAATTTCACGCATTTATAAAACCCACCATGGGTTAAAAAAGCTTCAAGGGTGACAATACTTTTGCCGTAGTCAAGGAAAAGGCGAGTGTCTGGAGGATGAACCGGCAGACAATGATTACTCGTATCCAGACTTACCACCTGGCGCAATGTACAACGCGGAGCACCAATGCAGACTTCAATTCGGTGTTAGGGAAGCTTCCGTTTGCTCCCCGTTGCAGGAGGTGATGAACAAAAGTAAATCGAATACGGGGCAATTTTAGGGGCGGTGAATAGAGATCGGTGATTTTGTTCGCAGATCTGCTCGAAATTATGGTGCATCGTTGATGGCACTTGCACAACCATGCTTCATCCGGCTGCCCCGGGGACACACTGTGGCAAACATATGGTACGAACAGTAGATATATAATAGTCATACAGTTGCGGTTCCCGAACGAACGTTTTGATTACACCGATATTACGGTCTAATTACCTACGAATATATGAAAACTGATGATAATATTCATTCTGAACGCCTTTGGATGCATGCGTATCTGTTCGAATTAATCTTTCACGTACTACGTATATATGTATGTATGTATGTATGTACGTATGTATATTATTCTGTCTCTGAATACGAGAGAATTGGACACGTCTTCGATAACATCTTCGAATGTTTGGTTCGCAGTGGTGCCAGAACCAGGAATGCGTGCCGATTGTGGACAGACCTCGCCAGATCGACGGTGGATGGGGCGAGTGGGGCTCTTGGAGCGAGTGTTCGAGAACCTGCGGTGCAGGTGTCTCGATCGTCGAGCGGAAATGCGATCACCCGGAGCCAGCGCACGGCGGGAAGTTCTGCATCGGTGAAAGACGCCGATATAAGATTTGCAACACCGATCCGTGTCCGGAGGAAACGCCCAGCTTCAGAGCAGTCCAGTGCAGCAATTACGACGGCAAAGAATACAAAGGGAAGAATTACACCTGGCTGCCGTATTTCGATCAAAGTGAGCCATCAGTTTTTAGATCTTCTTTCGTTTAAAGATGCAAATAAAACATAAATATTTCAGAGATGGAATTTAATATGTATATATAAGAGTGTAATGTATATAATTATGTATTATATATACATATGTTGTATTATGTTTATAATATGTAATTATAAGAATATAATACATTCTTAGAATCTTTTTTATGATGAGAATAATGCGAAATTTCTAAATTTCTTTGAGGAAAATAATTTCGTACTCGACGGTAAAAAATAATCAAACTCTTAACTGATATCATTGGATCATTGAGCAACGTAATAATTTAGATTATTATACCCGTTCAACAATCTTAGGACAAATATCTTTGTTGAAAGATTGAAAATTGAAAAAATGAAATAATATTTTGTACAATTGCGTTCGAAAATTGCGTTCGAAAATACACGTGCAATTTAAAAGTATTACTTTCTACGATAAATATTGAATATTAAGTATAAAAATCTAAGGTCTTTTGACTTGGTACTTAGTTTTAAAATTTGCTAATTGATTTAGTTAGTTTTATCAAATGCTCAAAATCTTAATAATCCAGCATAAAATACTACAGTCATCTATGACCCAACTATTTGAAGAAATTATTTTTAAAATTATTTTTTACCAAGTAATCTACATTCAATCGATATCCCATTGAACTTTAATCCGTAGAATATTAATGAATGTCGTCCTTAATTGAAGCGGAGCCCTGCGAGCTATATTGCACCGACACAGAGGAGAGCGTGATCGTTCCATGGGGCGAAGCCGCTCTCGATGGCACACCCTGTAACGTTGGCACCAGAGATATGTGCATCGCTGGAATCTGTCGAGTCAGTCTACTTTTTTCTCTCTTGAATTTTCAATTTACTTTTTTCTAAACAAAAAGATTTCAATTTATCTGTGTGCTTCTTACGTATTTCTCCATTGTAATTAATGTCGTAGAAAGTTGGCTGCGATTGGACGGTCGATTCGGATGCCACGGAAGATCGTTGCGGAGTCTGTCATGGCGATGGGACTCAATGCGAAACAACAGGCGGAGTTTACGATAAAAATGACGGTCCAGGATATAAGGAAGTGGTCGTTGTTCCCAATGGATCGAGAAACATAAAAATCGAGGAGATTGGTAACAGCAAGAATTATATTGGGATAGGCGTGCCAAATTCTGACAAATACTTCCTTAACGGAAAACGGTAAATAACAAATAAAGATCTAGTATTCTTTATTGATACATTAATCCTTTGCAAACTAATATTTTCTCGTTCCTGACTCTCGACAAAATTATACACTGAAAATTTAAATATTAAGAATGAAGTAAAGTATTTATTGTTCTATGAAAATTTAATTGGTATTGAATACAGTACACATTAGAATATAATTTTAATTTATTGTTAAAAATAAATTAAATACAAAATGTTAAAAATTAAGATATTTTCAGTATCCACGATATTTTTCAACGTTGCCATCATAGCAGCGGCATTCGATCTGAGAAATAGCAAAGGGTTGATATCGGTGATCTAGTTGGGAGAAAAACATTCAAAATGACATACATCTTTATATTGAAGTGATAAATACTAAGACATTACGATCTGAACCTATTATTTTCATTTCAATTGAACAGGCAGATCACTTTAGCAGGAGAATACCAAGTTGCCGGAACTCCAGCTCTGTATGAACGCGATCGTGATAAAGAAAAGGTCAGAATTCCTGGACCTATCAAAGAAGACATCGCAGTCTATGTACGTATTCAACACTAACTAATTAACTTTAATCACAATGATTGAATACTTTTTTTATATAATTCATATTAACTATAATTACAAAAATAGAAGCTCATGTTATGGTGACATGTACCAAATGTTATAGGAACTATACTTTTATTTTCTATATTTTTTTTCATTGATACATTATATACATCATATACATTGTATCTTATATTTTCATTTATTACATATATTTATATTTTTACATACATTATATGTATATTTTTTCATATTATACACATTCTGTGCGACTTTTTACTTTCAAATTTCCTATAAATGCATAAAAATTCACAATCTATTAATCGTACCTCGCGATAATTTTTCAATTTTTCATCTTGTCGAATTATCATACCTACCTATCTAATTTAATTTACCTTTCATTGATTTTCCATATCCACAAATGTACACATTCGCTACGATTTCTTTAGCTATTTTCTTCTCATTCTCAATAATGTTGTCCCATCACTTCAGTTGATTTCCAGAGGACACTATCGGAATTTCGGACTACGATACGAGTACACAGTGCCGAAGAAGGAACCTGATCGAGCACCAGAATATTCGTGGGTACTTTCCGACTGGTCACTGTGCACGGCCACTTGTGGTGGCGGCACGCAAACCTCGAAAGCACTTTGCAACGAAAAGAAGAGCGGGGTCGTCGAGGACCACTTTTGCGAGAGCATCGGAAGACCGGAATCGATTTTGCGGGAATGCAATCTGAATCCGTGCCCAGCCAGGTAAAACGCAAAACCTAGCCTCGACGAGGTAGTGAAAAAATCGGATTAAAGTTTCTCCGTGGTAATTATAATGGTGGGTGCATTGAATTACAGGCAAATTTTATTTGTCGTTCAACTCGACATTTCGATCGCTTGAACGCCAAAACGAGTGCAACTTGACTCGATAATCTTCAGATTTATTTTACTTTCTTTATTGTGATTCAATGTGTTGTAATCGAAATTTTCTATTTTACCAAAGAAAAATCGAAGAAGTTACTGTTATTCTTGTTGAATTAAATTACTCACAGTGTTCTGCAGTATGTGCTTGATCCGACAAATTCGAATACTAATCAAATATCGTTTTATTTCGTCAAAATTAGATGGTGGATCGGTCCATGGCAAATGTGTCCGGTAACGTGCGGAGAGGGTGCTCTTCGAAAACGATCGGTAATGTGTGTCTCTTCAGGAATGGGTCCTGATAAATCGGATTTGGCTCTGCCCGATCGAGACTGTAATCGCGACGTGAGACCTGAAGAAGTCAGTCCATGTCCAAATTTGCCACCTTGTAGCTCCACCGAGCCACCATTGATCGTCTACGCAGACAACAAAGACGCATCTTTTTACAATGTGAGCTCGAACGATCAGAGTGGAATCACGATCGTTGATGGTCTTACTACTGAGGAGCCGGAGATCCTCGAATTCGATAATGTGGTTGATGAAAATCCTGATAATTCAATGTACAATACTAAGTCAAAGTGGATCGTTTCAAAATGGAGCCATTGCACGAATGGGAAGAGAAGTAGAAAAGTGACCTGTTCGATGCAAGGAGATTGTAATCCAGAAACCAAGCCGGCCACCATCGAACTTTGTCAAGGTGGCAGATGGGTCACTGGTAAGTTATCTATTGCGCTAATATAAAATGTAAATACAATATTAAAAATCCTCTCATAGCCTCCGTATTAAAAAATAAACTTTGATAATATAAATTAATCAAAAAGAATTACAAATGAAATACGTTTTAATCGGTCGAAGCAAATGTGTCTAGAACGACGATATGTGAAAAAAGACGAAGGTGGAATTTCAATTATTTTGTGTAATAAAATTTATTAGTTTATTTAATATTTTTTTGAAGTCTAGTTTGTTACCAAAAATGCCGATCAAGTGACAATCAAGTACATAAAACCTTGATCTTGGATATGCTTGCAGGAAGATGGGGATCTTGCAATGCAAGTTGTTTTGTGAAAGTCGGCATTAAACGCAGGGAAGTCGAGTGTCGTGATCGTATAACAGAATTGTTGTCCGACGATTGCAACCCTGAGAGAAGACCAATCGATACAAGACGTTGTTATCATAGGCGGCAGTGCGCGAACGATAAATCCGGTAATTGTATACGCCAGAGGGAATCGGTCATTAAAGCCTGGGACACATGCATGGACGCCTCGTTATTTCTTTTTCTTCATCCCCTTAATGCGCACCTAGAAAGCAACAGTTTTCATGGGCCATTAACCACAAGTGCATATATACGGTGAATTAATGTCTTCCAGTAAACGCTTTACGATACAGTTCTTTGTAAATATATTCTATATTTTTTCATGATATCTTCTAGTTTCTTTCATGATATTGATCATCGATTATTGATATAGTTATGTATGTACATCTGTGAGAATGCATAATTTTATTTAACAATTTGCAACGATATAAGCTTCATAGTATTAATTTTTACATTTCAATATAGATACATCTATTCCTTTTTATTGCTAGTAGTTGTCACATGATGAAATTAACAAAATTAACACATAATCTATTAATTAATTATAATTAGATTTGCTTATATATATTTCAATCAATATATATTAAGATAAAACAAATATCAATGTTAGATTATATATATATATGTGTGTGTATAAAATTATAGATATTATATATAAATGTTTGTTTCAGAATGTAAGGATACTATCGTACCAGCTTCAATGTGTGGATCATATAGACGCATATGCGATATGTCATTGATTGTGCAGGATAAATGTTGTGCCACGTGTTTCAGAAAACGAAGACATAATCGTCATAACAGAAGACAGATTCTTAATCATTGACAAGTCGAAAATACAACAGCTAAATTGATCAATCTCCGCTTCTTTGTCGTGAGAACATTTCTAGATCCACTCTTAAACAGGATCCGTCCTACATTTGTACTTGTTTCGAAGATAAACTTGCTGGAAAACTATGCAAACGTATTTCTACACGGCTAAATTATAAATTAAACTAAATATTTTAATAGAATTAAATTAAATAACAATAAAAAGGTGATGAAAATTCGAAGCGCACTTAACATTCCAATATAAATGACATTGCGGTGTTGTACTCTAAATTCTGAATGTTTCATAAATTTTAATTTCTATCTAAAGTGTCTCAATAAGGAAATTAACAATATTGTAGATAAATCATTCGTAACTCTTCTAGTTTTAGCAATATAACGGTGCAAATATAAAAATTAATAAAATTTGCAAGATGTACAAATGTATGTAAGATATGAAGATATATCGAGTTCCTATATATATATATGTATGTATAGAATATATACAAAATCTCGATATATTTTTGAATTACATATGACGTTACCCAATCTCATATTTTATTATCCTACACATTAATATCCTACAATTAATTCAATAGCATAAATTTGTATTAAAATAAATAAACTATATTCTTTACTTCGTTATACTATCGTTAGATTAAAATCGTTTTTCAAATATAATAAAAAACTTTTTCTCACTAAAATGTAAATTTTTCATATTTTATTATTGTTTATACATGCATTTTGTTAGCAAACTGATACACTATATTTTTATGCTACTAAACTTTTGTACAATTATACATATATATACATATATATGTAAGACTGCAATTATTTGTGTAACACATTTACACAAAGAATAAAAAATAAAACTAATTTTCTAATGAATCAGAATAAAATATTTTTAAACAAATGATTCTTTAAAATTATTTAATATTCAGATTTTTATACTACAGATATAATATATTTAATATTGATTACAAAATAATTTACTTAATTTTGTATTTATTTCATAATGTACATTCTACTACACAATCAGCTTATAATTTATTTTTTTAAAAATTCACGATCATTCCATTTGTTTATATTACATGAAACATATATTGGATATGCCATAGATCCAATCCAAAAGACCACTCCAAGTGCGATTTTTTCCTGCATTAGAAAGGATATTATTAGAAATTGTATTCAGTTTAATCTTAATATTATATATGTGTAAAATACACTCAGTCCATATACTATATTAATATAAATGCTTAGATATTTAACATTAATTTTTAAGTTAATTATTACATTTCTTATATTTTATTTTAAGAAGAAATCATATATGACTAAATGATCAAAATACAAGACTGAATTAATCCTTTGCATTTGAAACGCAATTTTGTCATACATTTTGTCCTTTCAAAAGAAACGATTTAATACAATTCGTATTAATTCACATATTTATTTTATTTAGAAATATATAAACGAATTATAATATTTGAAATATTAAATATAAATGTTCTCACTATTAACTAATCTATTATATTACATAACCTTAACAAACTACTGACATGAATGATTACAAACTCTAACTCTGCAATGTTATATTTTTGCAATAAATAAATTCTTTAATTCGAAATAATATACCATATTATTTAATTACTGTCATTATTGTATTTTATATATATATAGATATAAGTGTGTTTGATAAAAACTTATAATAGTACTTACAGCCAGAGATACTCTAACCCTTGGTGGTGTACCAAGAATAGTTCTACGTTGATTTTGACATATATTTAATAATCTTGGTACCCTTCTAACTGTACTCTGAATTGCGTACATGATTTTTCTTGTTAAAAGATCTAATCTTTACAAGAAATTTTCTCTGAGATTTTTTATGTAATGTCACAGACTAGGAATACCAACCTTAGAAAGAAGTCTTGAAAATTTCATAGATGAACTATGAAGTACATGTGAATTATAAGTACAGTTCAACATTAAATATTAATATTATTGAAAAATATTGTATAATATTAAGAAACGGAACAGCTTATAAACAAATTTGTACTATAAACTAATAAAATAATTTCCAAATTATAATAAGAAAACATTATATGCATTTTCCTAAGGAAACATTAAAATAAGTCCATATAAAATAATAAATGTAAATACGTAGTAGTTATAAAATATGTAATTTAAAAAAAATATTTTAATCTATTTCATGTCAATAAAATTTTATTTTTTTTTACTGCTTATCACTTGAAACAGCGATTTTAGAAATTTTACCATAAACATAGTATATTTTGCAGGGATTTTTAAACCATTATGTTTCCCCTGTTTCAATCTACACTGAATTTTTTGGTAAAATTGAAATGTCACCTTCAAACTAAGAAATATATTCAAAAGTTATTTTTCTAAATAAAATTTTAAATAATTGCCTTTGCGTTACCAATAAATAAATTTTCATTTATCAAATATTTTTCATTAATCAAATATTTGTAAATTTATATTTTTATTGAGATAATACAGTTTCTCTTTTTATTCTTTTCTGTTTATAGTTTATTCATTAATATATATTTATAGATTCAGATTATATAGAAGTATAAAAATTATATTTGGATCTTGTGTTTATTGAATAGAAAAACAACTCTTTGTAACATATTCTTTTTTTTTTGTTCCCTTTCTTGATCACAGATAGAACACTAAATTTAGGCCATAAAGGAATTACTAAAATTATATAAGATAGTAAATGAAAAAAAAAATATAATATGTTTATATTTTTATACAGGAATTCACACATATTTGTGTGTACAAATTGCACAAATTGTCATTCAACACATATGCACATACACGCATATATGAATGTAAAACTCAGTATTAAAAAATTGTTTTACCTTGTGTAATAAACAATTAATCCCTGAGTTTGATTTTAATCTCCAATACGTATTCATTTCTTAAATCTCTTCAGACAAGATTAGCTTTGCGTCCGAATAAATAAAAATTCACGTCCACATAAAATTAACAAAATTGTGACATGTTGAATAACGTTAATATCATTTGCAATCAAAAATTGCATGAAAATCATTCGTGTTTACCATTGTGTAATAAATACTCCAATTAATTATTCTATTTTCATTCAATAGGTATAGCCCAAGGGTGGTCTGATATAACACCATATTGTATATCAGATAAATGTTTTAATAATATTTTATATATGGGATTAGAGTGTTTCATTGTTGGTATATGCAATGGTCGTCCAGCATATTCTATGTAAGATATAGGATTAACTGTGCATGCTGTTCCTGCTCCGAACATTTCTAACAACTAAAATAAAATTGCAATTTTTTATAATGTTTAGATAAATTCCGAACTAAGTATAATTAAGAAAAAGATATTTTACTCTGTTTTCCGAAAGCAATCGACAAACTTCGCCCATACAAAATTTCCTTTCACTAACTTTAAATTCATTCCATTCTGTAGCTAATGCTAAAATAGAATTTCTTGTAACTCCAGGAAGAATTAAACCACTTGTTAAGGGTGGTGTTATTAATTCTTTTTCTGAAATTATAATATATTTAATAAAAATAATATAAAAAATAATATGAAATTATACAATGAAACTATATATAAATGCAATAAATTATTACATTAAAGCATAAAACAATACTCACCACCATCATCATTTATAAAGAACATGAAGATATTCATAGTTCCAACCTCAGTTACTTCATTATCTTCCCCATAAAGCCATAGAACTTGTTGCAAGCCCTTCTCTATAGCTTCTTTTTGTACATGTATAGTAGGCCCATAATTGCTACCCATTTTATAGTTACCACAACCACCTGGCCATGCTCTTGTATATTGAGGATCAGCTAATAAAGAAATACCAACGTTTTCGTTCGTTTTTTTAAAATAAGAACCCACAGGTGACGCAATAACATAGAGCAAAGCAGATTTTGAAGATGCTACGCCAAGTGCAGGCTGTATAAAGATATAAAAATAATTATGACATGTATATATGTATAAAATTATTTTTATACTTATAATCAATACTTGAATATTTGAATTAAATACTTTTACTGTGTAAAATATTAGTATTAGTATTTAAAAATATAAGTATTTATGACTATTTCTTTGTTTAGATTGATGATTTTTTGTAATAAAGATAATATTGCAGTATTTATAAATAACAATACACATGAATTATTTGAAATCCAATTTACAAAAAAATGTTATATTTATAATATTCTAATTATTATCATATACTAATATGCTAAATACTATAATATACTAAGATCTTCATATTGATTCTATTTTTAAATTTTAATATTCACTAGTTCTTAATCCTTTCTAGAGTGCATATGTCGTAATATGGCTTCTGATCTAATTGTATCTTATGGCCCAACAAAAGAGCATTAAGCTTCATTTATCACGTATTATCATGAGTATTGTGAAATATATTGCTTACTTTAAATACATCTGTTTTTATGACGTCTATGACATCAGTACCATGATTATTATTTGTATCACTCAACTGATTAAGATTCATAAAACTTAATTTGTTTATATACACATTTGTTTAAATAGTATTTTATATTTAAATACTTACATCTATTCCTATGAATGTTGGACGTATATAGAGACTAGAAGCAGTAGAATGAGGTACCCATTCTTGATCAATACTAATTAATCTACAGCAACATTTAATTAATTCTTCTCCAATAAATGTAGGTAAACCAGCTCTCATTGCTGAATTGTTCATTCGTTCCATGTTTAGTTCTGGTCTAAATATTCTAATTTTTCCATCTATTCCTCTGTAAGCCTTTAAACCTTCAAATAACTAAAATAATACACGTAATGTAGATATTGTTAATAAATAAAAATGAATAGGAAACTTTATTAAATATTAATCATATTTACTTCTATAGCATAGTGAAGAACTTTCGATGCTGGATGAAGGACTAAATTTTCAAAAGGAGTAATTTCTGGTATTTGCCATCCTCCTAATGCTTCATAATAAAATATTTTTAACATATGATCTGTAAAATATTTGCCAAATGCTAAAGCACTGACATCTGGTTTTGGTTGCAATTGGTCTGGTCCTGCAAGACGGACTGTTAGATCTGCATACTACAAAATATAGTACATATTTGTAAGTTTTAATTAAAATAATTACTTTAAGAAATTATTAACATATATCTTTAAAAAGACATACCTTAAAAGAACGTTCTGATTGTACTGCTTTTCTATCTCTAATTTGTAAAGATGATGAATTCCTTTTGGTATTAATTTGAAATTGATTCAAAATGCTTCCACAGAACAAAATCTATACAACAAATATTTGCACTTTAATAATCTTAATATACTTATCTTATCAATACAATTATTACAAAATCAACACTTAGAAAATATGACAGCAGTATTGTACAATTTCCAATTTATATGTAACAAAATAATTTTTTCGAGTTTAAAAAAAACATAGTGTTTAGATTAGTCTAATATTAGTCTAGTAAGAAAATAGAATCATTTCGAACATAGCAGAATTTTCGATTCATATCGGCATTATGAAATACCTGATTATATTCAACGATTCGCGAAATAAGAAAAGTTAATATAATAGCATGATAAATGTCGTATACTATATCATCTTAATTTTTTTAATGCAAATTGCCTATGAAAGTAATAATAGAATTAAGTCAATGAAATATACAAATTCATTACGTACGAGAGTTCGCTAAGTAGTAGTTATTATAAGTTTAAAACATATGTACAACAATTAAATTTTATCAAATTAATTATTTCAACTCAATGCGAATTCATTTTTCTTTTCTTTAAACAATCACTTCTAAAATTTGAACTTTTAAACATGCGTTAGATGTCACATTGAACTTTCGCATGAAGAAGACACGCGCCAAAGTCATAGGTTTATAAAACAACTTTCCGTTTGACCACTTATTAATATTATCAGCTTAAAGTTATTGTATTAAAATTTCATAATCTATAATGTTTGGAAAATGAAGCACATAAAGTTAAAAAGATAACACTTTAAATGTAAAATCTTTACTAAGATTAAACTCGTTAATAAATATTATTTTAATAAATATGTACTGTTATTTTAAATAAGCTATTATTACAATCTATTATTATAATGCAATCACTACGTTAATTTTAAACTTTTATCTTATATTTCTCACAAATATCATATTGCACTTTCTTAATTATATTTTTCTACTTTTGTTTGAAATTTTTATTTTTAATTCTACTTTTAATTTTAATAAAAAGTAAAAGAAAAATTACTAGTTAGCAGTTTGGAAAGCTAGATTTCATTTTAAATAGCTTCCGTATATATCAGAACCTTACATCATCACGGAAACTCAGATAATTATAAAGACTTCATGAAAAATTTAGAACGAGTAAACAACTAAATCTTATATGAGATACAGCGACTTTTATATCAGAATTTTGTATTTTTATATTTTAATTAATATTTTTATTTACAAATTCGTATATTTTTTATATTTTAATATTCTTTACATTAAATTTTCGAAACAATTATAAAAAAATATAATTTACCTGACGCCGTAATTGAACCATTGTAATAGGATAGCGATGAATCAATTAGCAAATGTGTAATCCTCTAAAACAACCCTTAGCGCACAAGGTCTTTTATATCATATACGTGTATTACGTACGCGTAAATAAATACTTCATAAAATAGATTTATGAGAGACAATTCTTCTTATTGTTCCCTCTGGATCTGTCAATTACAATATTAAACAAGGAACAAACAAAAATGGAAAAGAAAGTAAATATGAAATCAATTGGCGGTGTAGATGACAATATATTCACTAATTAAAGCATGAATATTACAACTGTTATACAATGAATTCACTGTTGTACACTTGTATCTGCTTCCTTGCGCATTCTCGAATAATGTCTTTGCATTAACCATCGGTTAATATTTTATTTATTAGCGGGCAAGGGGCATGAGAGACAGAAAGAAGCTGAGAATCCCCCCTCTATGTTTAAGAGTAAAAGAGTGGGAGATTTACCGATTCAATATATATGTGTTATATACATACAGTGTTCAAAAAATTCCGATTTTAATTAGTTATTATGTTTTATTATACTAATGTATATAATATAATTATAATTTCTGTTTTGTTTCAGCTCTCTTGGATTGCCTAATCTTATTGATAAACCAGTACGTTCATCGTGGTCAACATCCACGCTGATTACGATCGAGTATTACACACAGTTGAAGATAAACGTTGATCAGTACGTAATAATATTTGAACATTAGAGAACATAATATTAAATATTGAATATTAGAAAACATAATTCTATACTTTTGTCTAGTGAATTATAATAATAGAATAAAATAAATTTGGAGTTTATTCCGAAGAAAAGAAAGGAGCTAATTTTCACGAAGATATCAATGAAAGTATGTATCGGTGATAAGCTTCAAGGAACACTCTATAAGTAAAAGATGAAACTTGTGAATATTATATGATTGGGAAAGGGGAGGAAAAATTCTAACGGGATATAACGAGTGGGGGCAGGGAATTAAAAACAAGTTGATAATATGGTTTGTTCGGGCGATAAGGAAGGACAGCACGCCCGTTGTTGTTAAGAACATCGAATGTTTCTCGATTCTCAAATGTACGAAAAGTATCGTAAATATTTATTAATTATAAATGGATAGAATGAGTCTTTATCCCTTTAGGAACATAATATTTTCTCACATTTACGATCATTATGCACACGAAACGCGCGGTTTTCTTTTATAAAATTGTTTCAGCTAGAACAACGGCAATTTAATATATACTCGGGATGATATCTTTCAGTTTTGTTCGTATCTTTGTTTTTAATATTAATGGCGTATAAACTAAAGAATTAATACATCATTATCAAGCACATGATATTGGAAACTGCGAAGTTTTATATTATATATAGTGAACAAGTGTAAACACGAGAGAAAGATAGTTCTACATAAGTACTATGTAATTATTGTATAAGATAATCTGATAAAATAAAAATTGTCGGATGATATGTATATTTGTACAATTCTGTTTAATATTTCCACAACTTTATCATATCAAGTGCATTTTCTATTTTGATATAATTTTTAGCGTGAAATCTGAATTTTACCAAGCGGTTTGGAAATCCCTTCGTCTGTCATAGTGGACGTTGCCTTTTTATTATATCTATAAATGTAATAGATTTATACATATAACCGTTTAATTATACTAGAAATGAACAAATGTAGACTTTTATTTCATCAGGCAAAGATTCTTCAATTACGTTCTGTTTTCATATATCGATTGAAAGCAACTATTTGTTTGCGATCAATGTAAAGTTGCATTAAAAATCATAAAGGATTCGAGAGATTACGATTAGTTCTGGATTACACAAATATTATTATTTCAACGCAATTTCTGGAATTTACTGCGAAAAATAATAGTATCTCCACGTCATGGCTACTTACACGTTTTTATTTTTGCAATTAATACCTACTGCATATCATAGCACGATGATAAAGCCGGTAACGAAAATAAACATTTCATTACATTTACACCAATGAATATTGTATAATTCTGCATCTATTACATTTATCGTTTTAGACATCGTATGAGTATACGAAACATGTTTTTAAATTATATTATATTTATAAGATATAAAACAAAAGATGTTGAATGTCTTTGACAACAAACTGTAGATTTAGCATTTAATGCTAAAAAGTATCGAATTGAGAATGACAGGAAATATTGTTTTTATTTATTATTATTAAAAACCATTAGATTGTCTTTACGTGAAATTTATAAGGGCAGCATGATTAATGGTTAAAATGGTGATTGATCAATTTCAAAAACAGAAGAGACTAAACATTAGAAATATTGCTTTGACATTATTGATTAGTTTGCTTTATCATTATTGAATTTAAATTATCATAGAATGCTGCATATCATCCGTATGAAATAAACCTGCACAATTACATTTTAAAATTTTAAACAGCATTGAAATCTTTTAACACTATCGGTTTCAGTATCCTCAAAATGACCAATTCGGAATTTTTCATAAAAGTTTTATTGATTTGTAACAGGGAATTTTTCTATAAAATATTTTTCTATAAAATATTTTTAGTTTTACAATTGTTTTTTTATATTTTTATTTTTATAAAATATATAAACAAAATTTTGTGCTCTTTATTATATTATAAACTTTGTCCTATTCTTTGCATTTTAATTTTATTGATACAAGTTTTATACTTCGTTTTAGTGTTAATATATAGGTAAATATTTAGTGTTAATATATAGGTCAGTTTGTTCAATAATTATAATTATTTAAACAGATTAAATATTAGATATAAGTAGCCGTCATTGCTATAGAGAGTAATGATAGTAGTGTGAATGCAGGCTTGTACAGTTAAAATAAAATTCGCCGTATATTGTTTTTGAAATACAGAATACTTCTCACAAATAAAATAATTCATTCATATTTCCCTTATAATTAAAAAATGATATTGTAGAAAAAAGGTAAATGATTCAAAGGGAGTTACATTTTCAAGACTAAACTTTTATAGATAAGACAATATATTATTAGATGATGTATCATCTATCTATATACGATATATAATAATATAATATATTGTTAGACTATAGTATATTAAATATATAAATACAATATATATATAAGATATATATATAATATATATATAAGATTACTACATTATTAATAATATTCTGTAATGCGCGAATTTACTTTGTAATTAAATTAACTAGCTCGTGAGATATTTGAAATTTTTCGGTTGAAAAGTTTAAAGAAATGTATAATATTATAAGCATTTCGTATACTCTTCTATATTGTTTTCACAATAGATCTAGATATGCATTTGTAAACATTTTATCACTGAATAATGACTTATCGTAACATAAGTATGAATAACACAACAATTGTCAAATCTCAAATATATAAAGTATCCTTTATACCTTTCAAATTATGAAAATTATACCATTTTAATTTAATATATTTAATATATTAATTTAATATATTTAATATATGCTTATAATTTATGAATATAAATTATATAAATTTAATTATAAATGAGATATATAATATCAGTATAGAGTACGAATCGATTCCACGGTCAATAATTTACACTTTTTTTATTTATCCAATGGCTTTTTGTACGACTTTTTTAATAAGTTATAACAGTTCTGTAGAAACTTTCGCCATATTGAGGAATGTTGTGCATATTCTTTGTTATCTTTATTATAATTAATCGAAGATTTTATGAATGTAGTGAGACAACAGTTGTCTTTGGAAGCCATTATTTAATAGGATTGAATTGAATAACAAATTGAGTTTGCGAAACAGAGTTAATAGAAAATACCGATAGTAATAGGAAACTTAGATTCATGTTTACGTTACACGTTCATTAATGTTACTTCTCAAAATTGTGAATGAATTAATTTCTTTAATAAGTTAGTGAATTTCATTAGTAGATTCAATCCAATTATCAATAAAGTTCGAGAACAACACATGATTATTCTTTTTATAAATATATTCTATATATTTAATAAGTAATGATTAGATTAAAGATTTTTATGTATTTATGGAAAATTTAAAGATACAGAAATACAGAAAATACACAGAATATACAAAAATGTATAAAATGTTGACAACAGAGTATTTATTTGTTATAATATTTAATTCTTGCTTAGGCTGCGTTTGCAAATTTTTGCTTAGGCTGCATTTTTTAAATTGCACTTATAAAAACATAAAATTACATAAAGATACAAATAATGATATACTGAGTGTTTATCGATTTAATATTTATAAATCTTATATAAGAAGACCGTAAGGAAGTTTATTACAATCGCCTATAATTTATTAATTGTCTAGAATTATTATTAACTCTTCATTTCAATCCATTTAGTGTTTATATACCGTTAATAATAAATAAATATTATTTAACTTTTGCCAATTATTATAGAGTTGACGAACTTCATTGCTAGAAGCCACACAAACCTTATTATTAGTATCAATCGATCAATTCTCCTATTAATCAACTCATTAGTTATCACTTCACGTAACTTTTAGTTAAATTTATTATAATTACGTATACTATGATGTAAATTAAAATATTTTATGTATAGTTTTCTTTACTTTTTCTTTTTATAAAACATTACTATATAAGAAAACATTACTAATATTTAAGATTAGATAAATGGGAACTATGTAGAACTTATAAACCGCAATATCTATATTTATATATAATGTAAATATATAAATAAAATATATAACCAAATTTTTAGTAAAATTTAAAAAATTTTTTAATTTTGCGATTTAGTATAAAATGATAAAGCGATGAAATCAAATGTAATCAAATTCGGAGGATTGAATAAAATTTTTCATAAGACCCCGACAAAATTAAAAATAAAAATTTATCGTGTATATACGTATATTAATTGTAAGTCAATTTCTAACTAAATATATACTTATTTTTGGAATAGTCTCTTACTTATTTTCATAAACAAAATAATTTCTCTTTAATTTTTTATTTCTGTCTTGATCAGTTCCAAATTATTCAAATTTAAGTATATTTAACAAGTGAAATTTTAATTGAAATGGAAAGATTTAAGTATAAAAAATGGAAAATTTAAATATTAAAGTACAATCTACATATACAAAGTTTTACAATTTCACAACTGAACTAATTTTAATAATAAACAACAATTGAAATTTCGAACATATTTAGATATCATTTGTTTTACTTCATATTTGTTAATAACAACATTGATATATATTTACATATATTATATTTTATATTATATTTTAAATTTAAATTCCGCTCCCAAATATATGTAACATTTTCTAAACTGATACTGTTATCTAGTAACTTTATAGTTATAGATTTGTATATAATATAAACTATAGACTACTCATAAATAGAGAACAAAGTAGATACTTACATATAAGAGTATATTTAAAAATAAAAAAAAAACATTTATTTGGATTTTTATGGGATTATTATATATACAGATGTGTGTTATAATATTTCAAATAATTGTTTTCGTTTAAAGTTCCTTTTTCAATTGCACCGCCATTTACTGAATGACGTATACATGTGCCACTAAACACGCCTTTAATCGGATTTTATGTCTCGCCGATAGACAGACGAGTCATGTTATGATCAAAATTGCAATTTGAAAGTGACGGTTTCTTTTTTTTCTTTGTTTTATTTTTGTTAAGAAGATCACAATACGTTGTAAGAAAGCACGCGTTAAATGCGCGAATCTACGCGCTAGAATGAGTCTTAACATAACGAAATTATTTTCAAGGAAAAAAACCGGCCCGGTTGATACAGTCGCTGAGATTGGTTTACCCACCAATGTTTCTCATAAATTTCACGTGAGTAAAAATGCTAAGACAGGGCAACTGGAAGGCCTGCCCGAGTCTTGGATTCGTTTTCTGAATACGCAAATATCAAAGTCCGAGCAGGATGAACATCCGGCTGCAGCTTTGCAAGCCATAAAATATTACAATTACTCCATAAAACGAAAACCAGAAGAGAAAATATTTAAACCGTTTGTTACGGAAGACCTGATTGAAGAAGAGTCCCAGGAGATTGATAAAATTTTGTCAAAGAAATGCCACTCTGAAGATTTCGATGGATCAAGTTCTGCGAGTTCTACGGATAGTCAAGTGCAGAGGTTACCAGAACTTCCACCAAAAGTGAACAAAACTCCAAAACCAACGCCAAGAATATGCTCTAACAGGATTGAGAAAACTCTTACTGAGATTCTTGAAGATTTGAATACATATCAAATTGAAGATGAAGATCAACTACCTGAGAACGAAAACGAACAAGATAAAGTGGAAGAAGAAAGTCCTATTTTAAGAAGGAAAACAGACTGTTCAACGATCAAACTTAATGATGAAGAAATTTTTGAAGAACTTCAAGCTATCTGTCACGATGGAGATCCAAATCTTCGTTTTGAGAAAATTAAAGAAGTTGGAGTTGGTGCTTCTGGCACTGTATTCATAGCTACTGATGTACAGATTGGTCAGAAAGTTGCTATAAAAGACATAGATTTATCAAAACAGCCAAAGAAAGAGCTTATATTAACCGAAATTAAAGTCCTCAAGGAATTTCAACATCCAAACTTGGTCAATTTTTTGGATGCATACATTATGAATGAACATCTATGGGTTGTTATGGAATTGTTAGAAGGTGGACCACTTACGGATGTTGTTACTGAAACTGTAATGAAAGAAGTACAAATTGCAGCAGTTTGCAGAGAAGTTTTAAAGGCAATTAGTTTTTTACACAGGAGAGGAATCATTCATAGAGATATCAAATCAGATAATGTTCTTCTTGGGATGAACGGTGCTGTGAAAGTTACAGACTTTGGTTTTTGTGCTAATATCGATGGCGATGAAAAACGTCAAACTATGGTCGGTACTCCATATTGGATGGCACCAGAAGTAGTGACCAGAAAGCAATATGGCAAGAAAGTAGACATTTGGTCTTTAGGTATTATGGCTATTGAAATGATAGAGGGTGAACCACCTTATATGAAAGAAACACCTTTAAGAGCATTATATTTAATTGCTGCTATTGGTAAGCCTTCTATTCCCAGATGGGATACTCTAAGTTCGACATTTCAAAATTTTCTAGAGAGATGTTTAGCAGTTGAAGTTGATGAAAGAGCAACTGCTGATGAATTATTGTCTCATCCATTTTTAGAAAATTGTGCAGAATTAACAAGTCTGATACCATTAATAAGAACTGCACAAAGAATTCTTCATAAAGTGTTCCATTGAATAATCGTTTTTAAGTAGAATTAAACATTTGTTTTTGTTTTATTATTTTAGGAGTATATCTGCAACACTGCATTAATATTATTTAGACAGTGTAAAAGTATTCTGCACACTGCACATGTAATTTAAATATATGCAGTGCAGTGATTTTATGTTAACATCTTTATATCAATATGTTACCAAAATAGAAATAGTATAAGTTATAGTAATGAAGACATGCATAGAAGATAATTTTTAAAAAAATAATTCATAACTTCAATACAATATATGCGATAGATTAATTTCTATTGCTTAAATCATTGAAAAAGTAATCATTAATGTAAATTATTAATAATTTCATGTGCAATATCTATTGTGTGAGCTCAATATTTTTTTTATATTTTCTATGATTTCATTAAAAAAAAATGTAATTTTGCAGCAATTTTGAAATTAGGTGCAAAAAGAAGAGAAACAAAAGTCATTGTGCTAAAAATATTTTATATTAGTTTATGATTTTATTTAAGGATTTCTTTGCATTTACTACAAAGTATATTACTTTTACTATTACTACTACATAAAATATTGTACTTAGTTTATTTAACAAAAAAGGTATATGGACATAGTATCTGTCAAAGGTACAACTAATTTTATACTTGACAGTTCTCAAAACACAGTAATTATACCAATTTAGTTATAGTACAAATTTAATTTAATAATTCTACCAATGATGTTTCAACTGTACACCATTTCTTTTGCTGTATTTACTAAATTGCATTTCTTTCTTGTTTGAAGTTTATTAAATCTATACATCTTTAATTAAACAGTTCATATACAAAGTGAGTATTATAATAAATATTATTTAATATTTGTTTAATCATTATTTAATTACACAAGGAAGACTGCTTTTTAAAAATTTTACAACTTTCGTGTTTTGAAAGATTTACTGAGAAGTTATACCTTGTGATTTAGTATTACAAGCACATGTATTAATAACCAAGTATTGTAAATGATGTGACATACTGCACATTGTAGAATATATTTTTTAAAACTTTTAGAAGTTTTGAATAGTTTTATAAGATTTTATCATTTTGTAATGTGTAACTTTTTGAGAAATTTTGTATTTATATTTTAAATCCAATGCTGTTCAATTAAGATGCCAAATTTTAACAGGTATTATTTTATTATGAATTACGTACACGAATATTATGAATATTATGAATTATGTATATAGTGTTTTTAAGATATCTTTTATGAAAAATATTTGAATTTATATTACAATTGTCCATAATTTAGTTTAAGATTTGAGCAGTAATATCACAACTGTGATAACAAAAAAATTGAGTCCTGTTATATTATATTTCTATATTTAATATTGTCATATTACTTTTATCTTTTACGTAATTAAATATTGCATGTTCAATTTAAATATGATTTAATTTGACTTCAATAAACACTGATGTGAAATTACATGTAATAATTTAATATATAAGACCGGTCAATTAATTATTCAATTAAACGTAAAATATATTTTCTATTTTATTATGTTAAAATGTTAAATTTATAAATTTGTTAAAGAATTAATATAAATTTGAACTTATATGATACAGTTGTAACATTTGTGCCTTATCAAATCAATACATATGGTTCTATGCCAACTGTCTTCTAAACAGTTTTATCAGTGATAATACAGTATAAAAAGGACAAAATGTAATAATGATCTATTGATAACTCGCATAAAATATTTGCAAACTCTTTACTCTTGTTCTTGAATATTTAATATCTATATATTACTTTCAAATATATGTAAAGAAACATCACGTCGTTTTAACAATAAATATTTTATTTACAAGATATAATTATAATTTTGTTATAATATTTTACTATCCCCAAAAGTTCCTAATTCACACTGAAATTCTCAATCATGCAATATTTTGAATATTTAAACAAAATTTATTATATACACATATATTTACATTATGTTTTTACATATTGATATACATAAAATAATGTAATTATAAAAAAAAGTATATATGTATATTTATTATTTTGCATGAAAGAAAATACAACAGCAGTGTGACCGTTATGTTATTAGAATAAATACAAATTATTTAATCGCTTACACAGAGGTAAGTTATATGTAGAATAGAATATTATATTAAATTAAATAAATTCATGAGAATTTATATTACTTTCCAGAATTCAAAAATTTCTCATTTTTAACTTTTTAAAATTTTATATTAATCTTTAATTTTTTTTAAATATTTTATATATTAATTATTTATATCAATCATGTGTTCCATAGATATACTGCACAATTTGTTCTAGTAAAAGTTTTCAGTAATTATAAGATTTGAGAGAAATATAGAATACATTAAATGATAAAAAAGCAAAATCATATAATGTGAATTCGTTTGATATGAATAAATAAATTACGTTTTTACAATTTTTATGCTTGATTAATAATATAGTATTGATAATATTGATCTTTTCTAATTTTAATGTTTTCTACATTTCCATTAAAATATTTTATATAAATATTGAAAGTATTAAAATTAATTATTACTCTAAATTTTGGCAGTATCTAGGCAGATAAATAACATACTTTTTGGTTAAGATCTGAAGTTCAAATGAAGTTTAAAATGGTTTTTGTAAATATAACTTATACAACATAGTAAATAAATATTATTTACGAAATATAATATCTATGAATTATTTTCATATTATAACTGTTATTTTTATATTATAACTTTCATGTTATAAACACTTCAGATCTATTTTTACGAAATTAATGTTGTAAACAAAAATAAAATGTAAATTAAAACATAAACCATTTTTTCAGTAAGTTTCTCAAGATTAACATTTAATTAAAGGTCAGTCCTGCGAGTATCTTAGAGCTCGTAATCTTCCAGCGAGCAGGAAACTTGGATCTTCCAACATGGCTCTTAAAACAGCTAAAAAGTCAGCTGCTTGGTCTTCATCAATTGCGCGCCTATCGTACGATAAAGTTGTTGACATTTTTGTTACTTTTTGTAACGCAGCATCTATAGAATAATATATGTATATTTTTTGTATCTTTACAAATATAATACATGTACAATATATATTCCAAAATAATAAGAAATAAGTTTTCTAAATACCTAGTTCTTCACGACCACTTCCAACAGCAAGTATTGCTGTTTGGGGAGGATTTATAATGGCACTGAATTGTTTGATGCCGAACATCCCTAAATTGGATATTCTAAAAAATATTGAAAATTATATATAAAATATAATTTGCAATTTCATATTTTGTATAAATTAATTTATTTACGTGAAAGTTCCGCCTTGGAATTCTTCTGGTTTTAATCGACCACTTCTGGCTTTCTCAGCTAATTCTTTAATATTTTTCGAAATATCTGCTACGTTTTTTGCTGAAGTGTCAAAAATAATTGGTGTAATAAGACCCGTATCTGTAGCAACAGCGATAGAAATATCAACTCTTGGCATACGAACTATCTATTAAAGATGAAAGAATTTAGCTTTACATGCTGTTTAAATAAATTTTTGCCATTATATCAAGTTGTATACTAACTTGGCCATTTTGATACAATGTATTAATAAATGGACATTCGATAAGTGCGTGTGCGGCTGCTTTCGTAATGAAATCGTTTATCGAAACGTTAATACCATCAGCTTTTAGTTCGCTACGAATTTCATTTAGTTTATCAATTTTAATATCGATGAATGCATAAGAATGGGGAATGGAACTCTAAAAAAATATTAAAAATACATTATGACGTTATTTGTAAAATATAGATACAAAATTTTGTTATTTATGAATGTATGGAACAATTTATAATTACTTTTGATTCTCCAAGTCTTTTAGCAATAACACCACGTATATTAGAAACTGGGATATCTTCGTACGAAGAAGGACCGCCACTCGGTACATGTACTTTAACGTCGCTTGCTTCTTGTTTAGCTTTTGCAACCTTAGGTGCACCTTCTGTTAAATAGGAACCTACAGTTAATATTGTTATACAATTTTACAAATTACTATTCGTTTTTACATACCTGATTTTAACGTAAGTTTTTTTACATTATTTGTTTGGATATAAGCTAACACATCACTCTTTAGTAATCGATTAGGCCGCCCAGTACCCTTGATCAAATTCGCACTTAAACCATATTCCTCCAATAGCCGCCTTACCGCTAAACCATAAACTCTGGAAAAAAAAATGTAACAATAACAGATAACACAATACTTGCGTTATAAATCCATCGATCATAGAAATATTTCTTCTGCATACTGTTCACTTGCTGCAGGCGTTTTATCTGCAGCTGTTGCAGCTGTGGGAGCAGTTGCAGACGGTTTTGTAGTTGTTGGAACAACAACATTTTTCCAATCCATCCCCTTTTCTACTGTAATAGCAATTAATTGTCCTACTTCCACTTGATTTCCTTCAGGAACCTGTTAAATAAATTTACATCATTAATTTTAAATAAAACATAACTAAATCTTTAATAACAGTTATGTACAAGAATTTTTGCAAATATCCCTTCATCTTCAACTTCAAAAGTCATAACAGCTTTGTCCGTTTGTATTTCTGCCAGTGCATCTCCTGGTTCTATTTCATCTCCTTCTTTTTTAAGCCACTTTACAATTGTACCTGTAGTCATAGTTGGTGATAGTGCTGGCATACTAACATTTGTTCTAAAAATATTCGTAATTTAAAAAATTGTTATCATACACACTATAAATTATTTTAATTAATACATACTGGCCAGGGGGTGGAGGAGCTGCTGCACTTGCAGATGATACTGCATCTGGTGCTGCTGCTGGTATTGAAGGTGTTAATGATGGAGCTGCAGTTGTATCTGGCATTTCTACAGATTTCCAATCTTGATCTACCTCAACTGTGAGTGCTATTAATGTTCCTACTTTGATATCTTTAGTTCCTTCTTGCACCTAATAAAGTGATATTAATTTTTATTAAAAAAATTTTAAGTAAAATATGTTGGATTAGATAGATAAATTGAAATTTGAGTATATTTCACATACAATTATTTTTGCAAGAACACTTTCATCATCAACTTCCATAGTAACAACTGCTTTATCAGTTTGAATATCAGCAAGCGCATCTCCTGGTTCAATTTTATCACCTTCCTTTTTTAGCCATTTGACGATAGTACCACTCTCCATAGTAGGTGATAAGGAAGGCATTAAAACTTCCCTTCCTTTGACTAAAAATAAATTAAAAAATTTTCACACTGTAACAAATTGTATACTGAATAGTATTATGTGATTTAAATTACTGTGATAGTTGGTTGCATAATCAATCTATTACAATAATATAATAATACATAGTTGTACGTTCAACTGAATTAAAAATAAGAGAAACTTTTTCGTTTAATATGTTCAATATTATGATTTGTATGGCAATTAATGTTATATGAAATAATACATATTATTTGTGATAAATGACCGTGAGTTAACCTTAATCCCATCCTCGAAAGTGTTAATGAAATATTTCTGAATAAATTGCATACCATCGAGGACCCAACTTGTATGAAAACATAGTCGTTGATATTTTAATGGTACAAAAATTCGAGGTATTACACGATTACTATTTTTAATAGATAAAAGCGCAATCCTAGGTATCGTCATTTGCGCCATATTTGATATGAAGCAATTAAGCTAAGAGTTCTCCATCTAAGTATATATGCATGGAAATCACTTTCGACCTTCACAATGTAAATCTGCCTACTAAATGAACGTTCGTCGGAGGGGAACGTCTTGCTCTTAATATTTTTTTTCAATGGTATATATTAATTGTTGCCTTTTAAACTAAGTATTGTTTTTCTAATTTTTGTGTCCTATAAAATGATTTTATATCTCTTTCATTTATTACTCAAACATTATGTTTTAATTTGAACTTAAAGTTTATTGGAGTGGTTAATGACATGCATAAGTAATTATTAAACACGTAGTTGTTTATATAACTAATAGAATTAATGAAGCTAATCATCAGTATAAAGTATGAGTAATTATAAAATTGTTATATTGTATGTTTAGTATGAAATTCATTTAAATAGTGTATAAATATAAAATTCATTTAAATGATTATTATATGTGAAATTTATTTAAACAAACTTTGCATGGTATAAACATCGAGAAGTATTTTTTCTCTCCTTACTTATAAAATTATTTTATAAATATAATATGGGTTAAATATTTCAAGTATTTATTGTTCAAGTGCTACTCTTATAGAATAAAATATTTTATTTTTTCATTCAATAGCAATGTGTAGAACGTTTTAAATTATTTATAAACTTAATGCCGAAATTATATTTCGGATGTAATTATATTTTTAGAATACAAAAAAAAAAAATATACAACCATTGACTAAAGACAGAATAGACCTGACATGAAATGAGACTTCGTGTCTCAAAGTCTGAAATACCGACAGAAAAAAATCACTGGTTCCTTAGTACACTCACCGACGAGATGTCTGTGGCGCTACTAATTTTTCACTAATAATTTATAACAATCGACTTGAACAATTTATTTAAGACAAATGACGAGAATTATTGAATAAAATAATTAATTTAATTGTAATAGAAAGATTGTGAAAATTATTAAATAATGTTTAAAAATGTTATAAAAATAAAATAATTTAATTGTTTTAAATAAATCATTCAACCTATAACATAATGCATTTGCGCATATTATTTAACAATTTATAGTAATTAAATCAGTGATTGAATTCCCTTATACTTTCACGCATTATTTCATAGTTTGAATAATTTATTTATAATATATTTATAATTATTTTATTAAAAATAACGCAAAAAAAGAACAGATACATAATAGACATATTTCTTGCTCTCTAAAACAATAAACAAATTTTTATATATTGTGCGATTATTCAAAAGCGACAATCACTACTTAATTTGATTTTTGATTACGTAAATGTTCTCTAAATAAATTTTTATTTAATGTATATCAATGCAGTAACTTAAAAATTTATATAATGAAAGTGTACATTTAGTTTTAACCGGTAAAAGATTAATAAATAATTATATTTAACATTGCAATAAATTAGAAGTGTAACTTTGCGATAGAAATACAAATATTATTAAATTATTGATTAGTATAATAAAAAAACTGTTTCTCGAAAAATTAACAGAAATTATCAACTGCCCCACATCACTGACGACTGAAAAATTAGATTAATCTTGATCTGTATGGAAAGCACATTACCACAGGTATATAAATGTGTTAATACTTGATCATGATTATTTGAAATTGAATACAAATGTAATTGCTATGAGCCGTGCTCGTATTTATTAACTATTCTTTAGTAATTACTGTAATATACTTTATCTTTCTGCGTGTACATAAGTAATAATATTAATTTAACAATACCATTGTGATTTAAATATTATTAGATATTTTAAGTATTTTTCTTTGAATTTATGATTAGGAAAATAATTTTGTATTTTAACCAATTTTTTAACAAGAATATTTATTTCAGTGTCCTAAATTAATCATTATATCAATTTTAGATACATTTCCTTTTTTAAGAAATTGTTAAATTCAATATAAGTGTAAATCGTAACTCCGTACGATTTACTAAGGATCTTACTATATGTACTAAGGTAGATCCGTACATAGTTATCTCCAGGTGGTGGCTGTCGTTTTCCAAATATCAATGTCTCGATATACTATTATTTGAAAAGCAAACAAAATTTCGATGTCTTCGAATATTACTATTTATAAAACGAGCTAAGAATTAAACACAGAACTAAGCAATCTAGAATCCAGTCTACATCTTGTCAATTTTTATTCTCTACTGATTTCACGGTCTACATTGGACTTTGGAACAATTAGTTAATACGTGAACTATAAGAACTCTTATCTATCATTCTTACGCGATCACATGGGATGCCGTCGGATGCATGCGTTTTAATATTAAGTTGTGTGCGTCCAGCTTGAGTCTAGTTAATCATGATAGTTAATCCCTGTAAACACAAACTGTACAATGACACTTATTCTATTAGTAGCATTGTTTTCTATATTTCGTCCAAAATGAAATAAACGAAACATTGACACACAATGTGCTGGGAGGGCTAAGTATTGTAGGACTACTATACAAGTATTGTATAACATCATTACACTTATATCTTTAGTGTCAAAGGTTACAAGTTATTCCGATATATTGTATGATCTAGTGCAACAGTATATAATCTACGATTTATTCTGTGATAATATGAGTGATGAATTTACTGTTCGTGAGATCATTGTTTAGGAGACAAAATTCCATACTTCAAACTCAGCCCTGTGTTTCAGAGATAAACTTTACATTCAAGTATAAACCTGAGCAATCGAACGTCTGTCACCTCATTACGCAACAAAGACAAGTACAATAAATACTCGGCATTCCTTAAGCAGAATACTCAGACACGGAAGGAAGGTGGGAGCCTTCGAATTAGGGCCCACGATCTCGAGTGTAGTAAACTACCTAATGGTGAGAACTAGTAATTGAAATCGCTTTCCAAAGATAAAACATTACAAAGCGATATCAAGCTAAGAACTGCACAACCGTTCAGCTAGTCAAAAACATTCACTTGATACAGCAAACTGGCATCAAAGAATCACTAATCAATAAGTAAATTATTGACAAAAAACGAAACGTCGAAGAGTACTTCCTACACCATGAGATATTCCCTTAAAGATCATCTGAAAACCATGTGCATCCGGAATACATCAACCCCGACGACATGGCAAAACATGGACATCCGACGAGCGGTATTCCTGATACAGAGATTCTTCGAAAAAAATTCAAGCTGGTATATCTCCACAACCAGAAGGTGTTTCTCGCTGAAATTTCGTATTTTGTACTAGTTGATGCATATAACCATCCAAGAGGTGGCATGGAAAGGCCCTACCTACCGCGGGTCTCCTAATGTAGAGGTATATCGAAACAACTTCAAGAGGGAATATCTCGAGAACCAGCAGCTCATCCTCGCTGAAATTTCGAATAAGGTATCAGGAGCAAATGACAATCAAGGAGGAGGCACGACAAAACCCCGGCTACAGCCGTTCTCCTGTTACAGAGGTAATTCGAAAGAAATTCATGCTGCAATATCTCGAGAACCAGAGGCTCGTTCTCGCTGAAATTTCGAACATTGTATCAGGAGCACATGACAATCTAGGAGGTGGCACGACAATGCCACGGCTACTGCCATTCTCCTGTTACAGAGGTAACTTCGAAAGAAATTCAAGCTGTAATATCTCGAGCACCAGATGCTCGTTCTCGCTGAAATTTCGAATATTGTAGCAGGAGCACATGGCAATCTAGGAGGTGGCACGACAGAGCCCCGGCTACTGCCGTTCTCCTGTTACAGAGGTAACTTCGAAAGAAATTCAAGCTGTAATATCTCGAGAACCAGAGGCTCGTTCTCGCTGAAATTTCGAGTATTGTATCAGGAGCACATGACAATCTAGGAGGTGGCACGACAATGCCCCGGCTACTGCCGTTCTCCTGTTACAGAGGTAATTCGAAAGAAATTCATGCTGCTATATATCGTGAACCAGGACCTCGGACTCGCTGGAATTTCGAATATTGCATCAGGAGCACATGACAATCTAGGAGGTGGCACGACAATGCCCCGCCAACTGCCGCTCTCCTGTTACAGAGGTAACTTCGAAAGAAATTCAAGCTGTAATATCTCGAGAACCAGAGGCTCGTTCTCGCTGAAATTTCGAGTATTGTATCAGGAGAGCTTGACAATCTAGGAGGTGGCACGACAATGCCCCGCCTACTGCCGCTCTCCTGTTACAGAGGTAAGTCGAAAGAAATTCAAGCTGTAATATCTCGAGCACCAGATGCTCGTTCTCGCTGAAATTTCGAATATTGTAGCAGGAGCACATGGCAATCTAGGAGGTGGCACGACAGAGCCCCGGCTACTGCCGTTCTCCTGTTACAGAGGTAACTTCGAAAGAAATTCAAGCTGTAATATATCGAGAACCAGGACCTCGTTCTCGCTGAAATTCCGAATATTGTATCAGGAGCACATGACAATCGAGGAGGTGGCACGACAATGCCCCGCCTACTGCCGTTCTCCTGTTACAGAGGTAATTCGAAAGAAATTCATGCCACAATATTTCGTGAACCAGGAACTCGTTCTCGCTGAAATTTCGAATATTGTATCAGGAGTACATGACAGTCTAGGGGGTGGCACGACAATGCCCCGGCTACTGCCACTCTCCTGTTACAGAGGTAACGTCGAAAGAAATTCAAGCTGTAATATCTCGTGAACCAGGACCTCGTTCTCGCTGAAATTTTGAATATTGTATCAGGAGCACATGACAATCGAGGAGGTGGCACGACAATGCCCCGCCTACTGCCGTTCTTCTGTTACAGAGGTAATTCGAAAGAAATTCAAGCTGCTGTATCTCGAGAACCAGGAGCTCGTTTTCGCTGAAATTTCGAGTATTGTATCAGGAACACATGACAATCTAGGAGGTGGAACGACAAAGCTCCGCCTACTACCGTTCTGCTGTTACAGAGGTAATTCGAAAGAAATTCATGCTGCAATATCTCGTGAACCAGGACCTCGTTCTCGCTGAAATTTCGAATATTGTATCAGGAGCACATGACAATCTAGGAGGTGGCACGACAATGCCCCGCCTACTGCCGTTCTTCTGTTACAGAGGTAATTTCCAAAGAAATTCAAGCTGTAATATCTCGAG